CAATGACAATAAAGTAAACTAAACTTATGCATATCTAGCTAGAAGTAAAAGCCACTGAATTCAATAGGATATACAATAATTCAAAATAAGGTTTATTTTTAGAGTTCCGGTCAATTCTTTTTCTGCACTCTTGCTCAGTGGATTTGTTAAGATAGTTTTATATAAGAAACTGATATGAGTTTATGTATCAAACAAAGTATTGATTTTTAAAAATTACAAAAAATTAATTTTAATCAATATTCATTCATTTTAATTCATTTCAATTCAATGTCTGTTTTTGGGAATGTAATCTTTTCCACTGTATATTAAATGCACACATATGCCCACATATATGCAAGTGTGCCAAATGCTCCTGTTTGTTGAGGGGAAAAGATCAAACAAAATTGCTTCATAAGATTGGGCGATCCTAATTAAAGAAGGGAACTAGGCTTAAATTTTGAGTGATCTTCCACTCTGATAAGAATTGCATATACATAGACAACTTACTCTGCCTCAAATTATTCTTATCTTGCCTTGCCTCTATCATTAAGGTAACTAGCTATCTGTTCTCTCTAGATGCTTCAGACAGCACAATCAATAACAAAGGCTTGTGGGAGAACTGTTAAAATCTTATTATTCCTAATACTTGAAGAGATAACTCCTTAGGTTGTGGATGCCTTTGAAAGCAATGACAAGCATCCTACATTTAGATTTGATGCATAATAGTAACCAATACAGCTAATATTAGCTTTATATTTTTATTTATTTATTTATTAAATTTATATGCCACCTGTCTCACTGTCCAGTGACTTGTTATATCCACCCTTGTTATTCTTTACGTATGATGCAACAGTGTCACATTTTATCCACAATGAAATCTTTCAAGAGCAGTTCCCACTTTTGTGGAGATTACGAAGACATCTACAGTAGAAATAACTCTTAAGCATGATTCCCACTAGAGCCCTTTCAGATATGAGGCAGAAGCCATTTACATCAATCAACTTTATTTTAATCTACTAAAGTCAATTCCAGTCCCTTTTTATGCCTACATAACACTACCACTTGATTTCCTTGCTTATATCCTCGCAGCTCAGAAATGAAATAATACCATAACTTTGAAACACACTGTGTTGGCACTATACAGAAGTTGTAACTACCCGTCCCCAAATAATTATAAAGCAGTAGAAAACAGTATAATGAGGCTAGGCTGAAGGATATATTGTATTTCAGAAGTATTATATTCCATTGGTGGCATATAATAGCCCAATACATTCATCCATTCATATCTAGGAAAAGGCATATCAGCTGACATATAAGTGGTAACTGATAAAAACAGTTACTTAATACAGCCAGATCAGAGTTAAGAAGTGATGACTTGTCAGTAGACTACTGCCTTTTGAACAATCATTTAATTTACATGGATTTTATGGAACAATTCTTTTATATATTCAGAAGACTTCAAAGTTCTGAAACTTCTTTATATTATATACTATAAAGAAAATACATTCTCATGACATTTACAATGAAAATCATAATTCACACACACATATGGTTTTGTCTTATTTTGAATACATTTATCTCAGTTAAAGGAATACATATAAGCTGAAACAGCTGAATCAGCTGTTTCAAGAAAATGATCTACTGCATCTGACTAAAACCATATAAAAGCAGCTAAAAGCAGCCAATGTAAGACTAATTGAAGCAAACTAAATAAATCCAACACAGTTTGGAAATGACCAGAGTAGCTAATCCCATAATAGGATTATAAAAACTATACAGTATGTAGGCCAAAATGGTTTCAGTAGCCTGTCTCTCTTGGTGATAAGGGAATTGCAAGGGTCTATTTGTATCTGACTTATACAGTACCTTTGCATATTTCTAGGTATGCTTTTCCATATTTATGTAATTCTGTATAACATTAAACATACAACATCTAAAATGTTCATATAGTGATATTCACAACAATGGGTTTCCTAATACAAAATATTCTCCTACTATGTAAATGCAGATCTCAATTTCTATTTAACTGCAGATAAAACATACAAATTCTTGGACCGTAAAATAAATCAGTTGTTACAAAGCAGCACCAGTGTGCATTTGCATTACAACAATTAGTGTAAATAATACATGAAAATCCATTCCTAAAATACATGTAACTTCTTTTCATAATCCCCTATACAGTAATTTGTTTTTTGTTTTGTTTTGTTTTTTTTTAAGAAAAGTTGATATATTCTTAATTAGCACTTTCAAATTATATAGAAACTATATGTATATCTTTTGGTTGAAATAAGTACATTCGTAATAAATAAAATTATTCTTTCTAGGATATATATCCGTATCATGTCTACTTATAAAGATAGCAGTGGAAACTACAATATACAAATCATACATTAAATATTAAGAATGCAAACTTAACTTCTGTGTGCTATTATTTATTATTTTAATGCAATAATGAAAGGCTTTAATTTGAACCTGTAAAAATTAAGAGTATTGATACTCCCAGAAAGGCTATTTTCAAAGCTATTTAAAATGACTGTCTCAGTTGTGGAAAATCTATTAAAGATTCACCAGTGTTCCAGGATCTAAAAATTTCCACAATGGATACTATGCACATTTGAGGATTTCATCATTTATTATATAACTGAATATTGTTATTGAAAATAAAATGGAAGAGAAAATTACCAATATAAGTTTAACAGATGCAAATCAAAAAGCATACTTAACAAGATAGTATTTTATACTGTTAAAATAAACTTTGATAAATAATAATAATCATACTAAATTTTCCAGCATTCGTAGATACAAGATGAATGATTAAATAACTAAATCCTCCCAAGGTTCTACGCAGACGTTGATTAAAAACATTACAATCTAAATATGTTTTTAAATGCTCCAACTTTTTATTCTAAAAATCAGTGAATAATACAGTAGAAACATTTGTTTTCCAATGAAGTTTTGACACACTTTAAAAAAATCCTACCATAATTCCAGATGCAGTAAACTATTTATCAGATAACTTTATATGACACATTCAAGAAAAGTGACCTAGTTCTCTGTGCATCAATTCAGGGCTAATCTGTCAATAGCATTTACTTTCAAATATGTTTTTTCCTTTTCCAGATTGCTTTAACCCTGAGGAAACAGCATTATTCCCCAGTAAACATTCTGTAATTTTCCAGCAGTACAAACTACAGCCTCCAAATGCAAGTGAGATCATTCTCCCAAATTTTCTGCATGGTATAGCACATTTTTCAAGTTCCTAACTATGGAACCTGAGAAGATCCAGAGACCTCTGGAATAACATAAAACCTTCCAAAAGAATATGCTGGGGGCTGTTGGAGCAAAAACAGTGTAAACTGAAAACATAATGGCATTTTCAAGGTGCAATTTTTGGTAAATTCTCTTGTCCATAACCCTGATCAACTAAATTTTGCACACATTACACTCAAACCATGGTTTATTTAATCTAACCAACTGCTTCAATCTGCACAACAAAGCAAACCATTATCTAATCATACTAGCTGATTTATATAACACCCTGCCCCCAACTAAATTTAATCCTAGCCTAACCTGTCCTCCCACAAGACCCCAGAGAGAATTTAGGAAAACAATTGCAATGGGTGATGTGCAGTTTTGAAGGGTACTGGGATCAAGGAAGGAGTTTGTCCTGCGCACATTCAGCATGCAGGTTTGTATGGTGTGTGACAACACAAAATCCAGATAAACCTTGCACGCCAGGGGATGATGATAATGAGGATGAGGATGATGGTGATAACAGAAGTCTCTCTCTCTCTCTCACTCACACACACACACACAGCGTCCTTCCATAGCACATACTCCTCGGCAACCTACTGTTGCAGCTTTCCACGGCCCAGGCGCTCTCGCCTCCAGTTTCCCCCAAGCACTCCCGCAACGTTTATCCACACCTCCCAGCCCCACGCGACAACCTCCCCTGCGTCAGCCGTTGCAGCCGCCCCCTTCCATCTTTGCACTTGCACTCCCATCCTCTTGCCTCCCTGCTGCGACACCCGCGCTTCGTCACCCAACAACCGCGCCAACCTCCCCCTTGGCTGCCCGAGTCCCCGCCGTCTCCCTTAAGCCACGCAGAGCCCTCCCCGGACGGACCGGCTTCCCGCGGTCCCTCCTCAAGCTCCAGCTTCTCCCTCCCATCCCAAGCTCCCTCCGCTCCTACGGGCTCTCCTCGTCCCCTTACCCTCGCCGTCCTTCCCGGCCGCCCTCAGCCCCTCCGCCGCATATGTCACAGAGAGGGCGAAGGCAAGCGGCCCCGCGACGCTTCCTGCAGCCATTAAATGCGGCCTGCTCGTCTTTACCTGTCAGCGGAAGCCGCGTCCACTCCCCGCACGCAGGCAGGCGGCCGGCCAGTTCCGCATCAATAGCACGGGGAGGAGCGAACCAAGAGGCGGAAAAGAGGGCGGCCTTTCGACGTTGGGAACGGACCATTAAGACGCTCTGAGGGGACAGAGCCGAGCGGGGTGGGTGGGAAAGCGCGAAGCCCGAAGGGGCGGGAAGGGGCGTCACCATCAGGGGCTTGAGTACCAAGGCCAGCGCATCCCAAGGCCGAGCAGAAGCGCCAGCCCCGTCACAGGTATGTTGTTCTTATTAATAAAATACGTCCCTCCTCCCTGTCGTCCAATTGCGGTATAAAATTCAGAAAGCCAAATCCTACGCTGTCAAAAGCAACCGCAGAACAGGACACTCACTATTCGCCACTATTTGCAAATAGGACACTATGTTCCAAAGGAGGAGCTGTTTCTCGGCCAAATTTCGAGGTATCAGTTCTTTTGAAAATAAGCCACGTTAACAGAGTTATATAACTGAAATCTTAAATTACAACACATTTTAAAAAAAAAATGGGGAAAGGTTGTATTTCTGTCCATTCATAAAAGTATTTTTTAATTTAATTTCTGACCCTTCGTAAGTCTTGATTGAAGTTAAGTTCATATGTACGTTTTCAACAGAACAGGATAAATGTAGATACATTAAGTATGAGACAGGTTTTTCTTATTAGATTTTATTCTTTTCATAAAATTACATTTCTGAGAAATGGTAATTAGAAATGTGGGATTAAACCCAAGAAGTTCTGTAATTGCAAAGGGTTATTACAACATGGTAAATTGTTATATATGTGCTTTCTCAAGTTAAGGCCAATACAAACAGAGTAATCTCATGTGCAAAATAGTCATAAAGCTGACACCACAGATATGGCACTTGCTACATAGTAATTATACTGATTCAAGGGCCTAACTTCTAACACACCTGCAGAGAAAGCCAGTTTAAATGCTGAAAGAAGCAAGCATTATTAGTGTACCAATAAATGTCAGATATAATTTCTGGTATCAGATATCCTGGAAAGTGTTGGCGTATATTTTTCAAGTTATTTATCCCATTAGCAACTATTTCTGCCTAAATCCACTTGCATCAATAAGTTAAACTGCACTCATTCCTGAGGTTTAGGCTGTAAACACTAAACTCTTTGTGAGTATATGGGCCACCATGAAATAACTGAACATGTTTAACTTAAGGATGGAAGAATATAAACTTGGCCTTCACATCCTCAGTACACAAAATCATATACATAAACTGAATTCTTTTCCTCCCTGAAGATACCCAAAGGCAACATTTAAGAAATTTCCCACTGTAGGCATCCATCCAGGAAGGCAATTGACGTTAGGTGCATCATGACATGATGCAAAATGTACAACTTAAGTACTAGTATTCAACATTGGGACCAACTATGAAAGTTCAGGACTGCATCATGATGCATGCATCATCGTTTTTGGGAAAGCGATTTACAGCAGATACCAATCTGTATTTCCACCCAAATGGTTTTTGACAGAGAAGGGAAAATTTGAAGTAAAGAACTAGTAAGAGGGAAATAAGAAAATGTTTAACCATAATTGGCCGTTATTTGGATTTGTCTCTTAATGCATAGATGAATAAAAGAGAAGATGGTCATCTTATATGTAACTACGTTGTAATCTAATATAGTATATTTTGTATTATATAGAAAACATACTAAGCGGTAATCATCTAGATTATATGTATGAATGATGCACCTGTCCATATTCAAAGGAGTTTCATATAATACAAATCATGTCTTCCTCATTATTGTATCAGTATGTATCAGTAATGGTTGTATTTCTGGTCAGGGGATGGAGAACATAAATATTACAAAAGGTCCTAAGAGATTTCTATACTATAGCTATCCTTTCAATCCAAAGCGATGCTTCTGAAAAGTCCACAAAAAGGCACTGAAGCCACATACAGTCTATTAATTGTTTTGAATGTTAACATAGTTTAGCTACATACAACCTAGAGGACCCCCAAAAAAAGATATACAAGGAAGCTTGCCTCTAAAATTCCCAAGAAGGTTCTATACATCTGGATGGTGGTCTTGAAATTAAATATGAAAAAAGGATTAAAGAAAAAAACGCCTGCAAAATTATGAGGGGGTATTCTTTTACTCTTCCATGTTAGGTGTTTCAATTCCATTTTTGAAAAATAGTGACTAAAACATCATCTCATCCTTCTCATTTGTTGTCTATATACTGTATATATTTCATCAGAGCAAAGAAATCAGTCTTTTGCATTGTTTCCGTGCTTTTGATAAAGGAGAATAGTTTTTACTGGCAAAAGATAATCAGTGTAATTGCTCACTGTCCTTAGATAGTATACTCATTCATTTACATCCCAGATCTCTGAAAGAAGTGGTGGCAGCTTTTTGTCCTGTAGCCGAAGGGCAAACACTTGTTCAGAATGAACACTACTTAAAGTCCGAAGGCTGACGAGTTTCATTAACATCCGTGGGAACATTAGATGATCCTATAAGATCATACACAAATAGACAATATCAGAATGATCAAAATTCTGTTCCTCTGCTTTACTTATGTAGAATAAGATTAAAAACCATTTCCCCAGCAAACAGCCTCAAATTCTATACTATCAATACAAATAAATTATAGAAAATGTAGCCATGTGCTAAGCATGGTACTAGGTATTTGAATATTTGCTCCCCAAAGATTCCATGAACTTGTAATTCTTCAAATATTATTTTTGGGGAAAAAACACCTCCCCACTGCTTCAATAGAACAACACCACCCCCTTAGCATCTCTGATTAAAAGATATCAAAATGATCAAAAGCACTATTCTCTGAGTAAACATACATTCTTTGTTCTTTTTATTCCTAGAACTGAATACATGCAAAATAGCAAAGTAGAAGTAGCACCACACGTAGAAAGTTCATATTCAAGAGTAACGCATTGCTTGGATTTAAAAGCAAAAATCTGGAATAGCACCTATTTGCAACTTCATAAAGTAGCTTCTTAATTTTTGATGTTCAGCAGCCTGGCTCAACTGCAGCAAGTTCAGGGAAAATATACATTTGGTTTAAAGCATTACAGGTACACCCACTGCTTTTGCTTTCAAATCTAATGCTCTACTTAGTCCAAATTTCAAATGTAAAGCATGTCCAACTAAAAGAATTTCAGGTTCAGAAAAATTTGTAGAACCGCTGTTAGTCAGGATATGGCTAAATATTTGTTAAAACCTCAGTCATATCATGCAGCCCATGATAGTCAACTTACAGGAGATTCTGTTTTAACCAGATCCTTTCTTACATGCACTGTTCGCAATACAGTCACTTTCGCAGGCTAGCCAAGATACTTACGTTTGGCCTATGAATACATATATATGAGTGAAGGGCTTCTACATAGGTATGCTGCAACTTTTCTACCAGAGTTTGATCTTGAACATTTGGCCGGTCTGTTAAGGAAACAGTTAAAGCATTAAACTTTAAAAAATATTTGTCAAAATATAAATTTTATATGCTTGCCCATCTCACCTAAAGTAACTCTTAGTGGCATACAATAAACCAGAAATTAAAACATTTTTCAAACCCTTTAAAAAACAATAAGCATGGATAAAAAGAAGGCTATGAGAAGGAAGATGTTTACAAACAGTATAACCAACATGCCAGCTCCATGCTAGTTATACTGTATGTATGTAAAAATCTTTCTAATGGTTTTGTTTAATGCATGCTTATGGAAGGCTGGTAAGAAGCTTGTAATTATTTATTTGTTTATTTTTAAAGAAATATATACATCAGTGAATCCAAAGTGCTCTCTGGCTAAACTCAAAAATCTTAGTGCCATACCTGTTTCCCCAGTCTACTCTACAACTCTCTAAACACCTTATAGCTTAGAAATAGCATAAAGAAAAACCGCTTCAGAATCCAATGTCCCCGTTTGCTGTGATTTATCATTTTTTAAGAAAACGTCATTGAGAAAGAATTAGCACAGTTCAGCAAAAGCCAAGCATCTGGTTCAACAGCAAATAAGGAAATAGGAAGAGACAATAATAATATGCTGAATATTAAGCTATGAACAAGACATCTCTAAGACAGATGACTTTGAAGAAAATGATTGCAGCCCAAGCACTTTTATATGTACCATATCCATCATCTTGTCTATTTCGATCCCTCCCTGCAGATATCACAAGCCTTGAATATAAATACACCATGACACAACTAACCCATACATCTCCACCCTGAAGGTTCCGTCACCATCCTTCATCTGCTGCAGTGCACTACTACCAAATTTCCCTACCTTAGAATACCTATGCCCAAAATCTACATGTTGTGGGCCTGCACCTGGATTTGGGTTTATACAAAATGTGTATGTTTTGGGTCAGCCATGACTGGGATATTAGTGCACAACCTTAATCCATGACAAATGCGTTCCCTAGAACTAACATTAGGACACTAAGTATTATATACAATTCTTCTTGACTGAAGATTCTTTTTACTATTTTGATCTAGCTCCCTCCCAGCTTGTTACCTGCAGAAAAAATGCTGATGGCAATTAAAAGTGCATATTCAGCATCATTGAGATGCAGTTCATTCATTCTCTTTGAAAATCCAAAAATGGGATTAATAAACTCAATTTGTAGGCCTGAGGGAAAAAACAGAAAGTGACTTAGAAATATGTACAGCTTCTGTATATTGCCCCCACCTCCCCCCACCCCTAAATGGCACATTCAACTCTAGATGAATATACAGGTAGTCCTTCTTTAACCATAACTGGGATCAGCAATTCAGTCATTAAGCGAAGTGGTCAATAAACAAAATCTCAACTATACTTATGATTGTATTTCAGCTTTCCTTCACTTCACAAACCTGCAAAAGTCATAAATGAAAGAATTGGTTGCAGAGTTACTTTTTCATCACTATTGTAAGTGAAATGTCACTAAATGAAGCAGTCGCTAAACAAGGACTACCTGTATTTATCAGGAAAGACCATAGTCCAATAGAACAGGATAATTCCTCTCCCTTATGTTACTTCTGAGAACAGGCAATCTATTTTATTGTATTACCACATTTCCTGAAGAATAATCAGATGCAGACATGCCTGAGCTTCGTAAGCTTAACAAGATGGGAGACTATTATAGAACATTAGGACTATAGGCCAGAAGTTAAAATAACCTCCAAGGTGACAATGACAAACTTTTCTTATTGCTATTAAGAAAAGTGCATCATAGGACTACCATGATTCAAATTTAATTCAGGAACATCTTTATTTGATTGAAAACTATATGACAATGATGAGAAGACCCAAACAAAACATGGTAGAACCTATTTCCTTCATGTCATATACCCTTCTCTCTATTTCTTTCATTCTCCTCCATTTCCCAAAACACATGCATAGCAGAAAGGAATGTGTGAGGAAATCTGAACTGATCCCTTGCAAAAACTGAAATCAATCTGGGAATTTTCTATGGCCCAAGGCCACAACTCCATCCCAAATTAGGGTATCTACACTCTCCCTAAATATACTGTGTATAGTATACTTGTCAATAAACTGAGAAATTAGATGTCAAAATGTGTTCAAAAATGTTTCAGCTTATCTGGGGATGGGTTTACCTGCAGCTATATATAATAATACTTTTTAAAGTACCCGTATGCTGTATATACTCAATATAAGCCTTATAAGCTTATATAAGCTTATAATATACTTATAAGCCCACCCACAGACAAGGTGACCTTTAAGTTTTTAACCAAAGTATCATGAAAAATGGATAATGCTGCACTATGCACAAATAATTGTGACAAATTAAACATGAAAATTTCAAAGGTCAGGTTCATCTGCAAATGGCACATTAAAAATTCAAAAGGTGATTTGAATTTGGATGTATATGCTAGTATATACAGTTTGTGCGTGTCCGTGTGCACTACCACATGTGTGCATGCATCCACGCACACACACCCTATATTCATAGTGTCATAGATAGTTTGGGCATTTCAGGTCAAGAAATAAAAGAAAAAAATACAGGAATGATTGCTTGCTGCCTAGACAAGCTAATGTTCATTGTTAGAGCACTGTACTTGAAAAATTAAAAGAAAAAAACTAATTATATGCTTCCTTTAAAATTCTGTATATACATGTATGTGTGTGTATGGCATGCATGCATTTGGGAGCACACACACATATGCACACACACATATGCACACAACAGACACATCTATATACATCCATCCATCCATACATCCATACATACATACATACATACTACAAATATCCCACCCTTTTTTCAAAAGTTCAAGTACTTAGCACTACCTTCTCCAATTTTTCTCAACAGCCCTAAGGGATTAACTGGAGTGAGTGGCCCAACATCGTCCAGTAAACTTCCATGCTTTAAACATTCTCCTGAATCTGATTTTCCCCAATCTTAACATCACATTTGGTCTCCAATCTTGCCAGTTTGGTATAGTGGTGAAGTTGCTGGGCTAGAAATCAGGAAACTCAATTCTAGGCCCGTCACTTTCTCTCAGCCCAATTTATCTCACAAGGTGGTTGTTGTGGGAAAACATAGGAGGTAGGAATATTAAGTGTGCTTTTCACTTTGAATTATATATAAAGTACAAGATAAAACTCTAATAATAATCTACCACATATTTTGAAGTTATGAAGCTATGAAGCTAGACCTTTGCTAGAAGAACTAATTCAATACCCATAATATTCACAAATTTGGATAGCTATTTCATATCCTCCAAAAATGTTCTGGTAGGAAATTATATTATCTCTTCTAACTTTATTTTTTATAGTATTACTTGATTTCTACTTCCAAAAGTTTTGCCAAGTCTCAAATTTCAGGTTGAGGATTAAGCCTACAATCTCTCATAAAAGAATTTTGATTTTATTTTTTAGAAAATAAGTTTCCATGATATTAATCCATAAGACAGGGAGAATAAATCTCTTTTATATTCTGGAATGTGCTTAACTCACCAGCCTTGGAAAAATCATCCCGATTGTAACTCAAATCTTTCAAAAAAGTTATGCTTTCAGTTTCTGGATTGTAGCGCCTAGATGTTTCCAACAGCATCACCTTGAATACACAGATACGACACACATACCAAAACCAGTCACAGTTATAAATCTGATAATAAAATCAATTAAAAGTGTTATTGCACTCATATAAGCAATGAAATAAATACTTTTTGATAACTAAAATTATCAAAAAGAATTTGTACACTACCTTTAATACATCTGTTTTGCTTTGTTTTTCTCTAATTTATTTAAGTTGTAAACTACACTGAAAGTTCAATATGTACACAAAAATGAGAGACAAAATGATTAAATAAATATGCAACATATAAGAACATTTTTCTTGTCCTCTCCTTTCTCTCCACTCCTTTCTACACTTAAGTTTCTCCTAAGGTTAGGGATTTCTCTGGACTGATGCAGGGACAACTTCATGAGTAAGCGTTCTTTTTATAGAAACTAATTTGAGAAAATTCGCTGCTTTCCTTTCATCTCTCTGAAATATGGCTATCTTTCTGAAGAAGACCTCTTTGATTCTCAAAACATATATTTTGCCCAGATCTGCAAAATACATGTGGCAAGAGGAAAGTACCAATCCACCAAAATCCTTTTAGGATCCCAATCAAAATATGTTCCTGTGAACCCCACTAAGTAGACCAGACCTAGAAAACTGCACAAGAAGACTAAAAATACTTTTATTGAGATTGACTGTAATAACAGAATCTTGCAAATCTAATTGTGCTGTACCACCTCTCCCTTCTTTTAGATCCAGTAATTAGGGAAGCTTCTGCTTAAGTCACTTCCAAGTGTTATCTTGTTGCTTTGGGCTTAAAACTTGTCTCAGTCCCTTTTGCCCCTAGATAACAATTCTTGCATATCAAAGTGATTTTCCACAAGCTCTACATTTCCATTGACTGGGGTTTCAGGCCAAATCTTCATCCTACTTTCTATGGTCACCTTAACATCAACTGGAATTTGATTAAGATCTAAAGGTTCAGAACCTCTCAAACAGCCAGGTGAATTATTTATTTATTCAGTCAATCAGTCAGTTATCTGATGCCTTCTGACTCTGAACAACTCTGGACAGCTCACAATACACCAAATAATAAAAATGTAACATAAAAGATAGACATAAAACCAGAAGAACAAGACATTAAAACTAGTAAACTCCAAAATATCCCATTAACTTCTAATATCCATAGAAAAAAGTCTGAGAGCAGAAATGTCCTTCCAGCCTTCCAGAATACCAACAGGATGGGAGCCATTCAGATCTCAGGGGAAACATGATAGATGACAGTGTTTAATTTTGGAAACCAGGAGCATGCCAACCTTTTTAGCCAAAATTGGCCAGGCAGATACCATGGAAGATTGATGGCTCTTCTAGTAACTGGGCTCTATGCCATGTATGGCAATATAGATGATATTTGAATCACATGGAAGTAATCTGGCAACCAATGCCATTTGCACAGCAGAGATGTCACTTGGGTATACTGAGGCATGCCAACAATTGCCATAAAGGATTGAGCTGACGTTTAAATCCTGTTTTCTAAAATACTCCCTATTTTGGAAACCTAACATCAGAAAACTTTAACTTAAAACTAATAGTTTGCTCATTAGGCATGTGACTTTTAAAATGCTTTTTGATCCCAAAATTCCTCATCAAGCATTAATAAAAAAATAAAAAGTTTATTTCCTTTGTCATTAGATGATACAAAAGCAAACTGTACATATACTGTTGTGTATGCTGATTTATTTATTTATTTATTTATTTGATTTCTATAGTTGCCCATCTCACAAGTGATTTTAGGTGGAATACATTATAAAAACAATTTTAAAAATATAAAATAAATGTACATGGTCCCAAGTAATACTATTGCTGTAGATGTTAACAAAGCCAAAAAACCAGAGCCCTCAGTGTACTCAGGGCCCCAAGCCCCAGACATATAACCAGGTCTTTACAGCTTTATGAAATGCCAACAGAGTCAGGTTTATCCGAATCTCTGAAAGGAGAATGTTCCAGAGGGCAAAGGCTTCAGCAGAAAAGACATGTCTCCTAGTCCCTCCAACCGACTTTCCTTGGCTGATTCCTAATACACCCAACCTGCCAGATGGAATTGGACCAATAGCAATGACTGGGATAAGATAATCCTTGAGATAACTCAAGTGATCAATACGATAACTAGCAGCTTGAATTGTAGAGAAGCATGGGGGTAGCCAATGAAACTCACAAAGCAATGGTGTTACATAGGTCAAATATCTGTCACCATTTATTACCTGTTTAGTCAAATTATGCATCAGTTGAAGTTTCAAAATGCTGTTCAAGGACAGCCCCATAAAGAGCACATTGCATTAATCAATGAGGTCACAAGGCATGAATGACTGTAAACAAAGTCACCACTCCACAAATGGGCACAACTAGTACACAATGTTAAAGTGTGCAAAGACCCTCCTGACTACAGATATCTCCTGCTCCTCTAGAAGCAGGGGTGGGATTCAACCAGTTCAGTAGAACTGGTTGTTACAATTCCAGGTAGTTCGGAGAACTGGTAAAACGGGCCCCTGGCTGGCCCCACTCACTTCTCTGCTCCCTGCCCAGTTAGTCCTGATTGCGCATGCGCAACATCGTGCGCATGCGCAATTGCTGATTGCATTCTTCCCCCGCCTGCCCCGCCCCTCCTAATCTTGGCCATGCACCATCACTGCCTGCAGTCTGCCTTTGCCCACCCACCCGCCTGCCCACCATCGATGTCTGCCTTCCACCATGATCTCCCTAGGTGAGTGAGGCTCTGCAAGCTCTGCTGCTGCCAGCCCCAGCTAAGTCCTGACTCCTGGGCCAGCATAGGCTGCCACCCTTGCCACCACAAGCCCTGGTTAAGTCCTGACTCCCGGGTTGGCCTAGGCTGCCACTGCCATGCCGCCACTGCCCTCAGCGCCCGTGGCCTAGCTAGCTGTCCCCCCCCCCCCACCATCCCTCTCTGGCTTACTTCGCTGCCAGCGCCACGGCTCCATCCCATGCGGCACTTGCAGCCTAGCAAGCTTCCCCCACAATCGTCCCTGTCTGGCTTGCTTAACTGCAGGATGGGCTGGCTCACCTTTCCTGCAGCTCACCTCTCCTGCAGCTCCTGGGGTGGGTGAGGCTGCAGTGCAGGCCTTGCTTGAATTTCCCAGCCCTTTCCCCAAAAGAAGGAGGGGAAGAAGTCCCACCCGCAGCCCCTTTGTTGGACCCGGAAGCCTTGCCTGCTGGCTTTTCTGGGCAACGCGGGACTAGGTATGAACGGACAATCATGTCCAGTCCCTGGGACTCTGGGAGATTGGCCAGGAAGAACCCTCGTCATGAGCAACCCTGCTGGGGAGTACTTTGTTGGAAGTGTGTGTGTATGTGTGCGTGTGTGTTATTTCAAGTGGGTCTCCTAGCTTTAGAAGGAGAGAGGGAAGGAGGAAGGAAAGGGATAGAGAAAGAAAGAGAGAGAGGGAAAGAGAAAAAGAGAGAGAGAGAGAGAAAGAAAGAAAGAAAAAGAGAAGAGACAAGAAGAAAGAAAAAGTAAAGAAAGAAAAGGGAGAGAGAAAGTAAGAGAAAGAAGAGAAAGGAAGAAAATGGATAGACAAAGAAAGAAGGGGATGGAAGGAAGGGACAGAAAGAAAGAAAGAGGGGGGAGGGAGGGAGGAGAAAGTGAATGGGATATATGGAAGGAGGGAGAGAAAGAAAGAAAAAAAAGAGGGAAAGAGAGAGAAAAAGAATGAGTGAGAAAGAGGGAAAGAGAGAAAAAGAGAGAGAGAGAGAGAAGGAAGAGACAAAGAAAAGAAAGAGAAAAGGGAAAGAAAGAAAAAGGGAGAGAGAAAGGAAGAGAAAGAAAAGGGATAGACAAAGAAAGAGGGGGATGGAAAGAAGGGTTTGACAATGGGAAAGAAAGGAAGGAAGGAAGGAAGGGAGGGAGGGAGGGAGGGAGGGAGGGGGAAGTGAATGAGATATATGGATGAATAGATAGATACATGGAAGGAGGGAGGGAGGGAGGGAGGGAGGGAGGGAGAGAGAAAAAAAGGAGAGGAAGGGAGGACACAAACCCTGGCTTCAGAAGACTCTTCGAAACAGCACAGCAATCTAGGGCTGGCCTGCAAGAGATCTCAGAGGTCATCTTCTCCCGCAGGGTTAGAAGGGAATGTGTGTGTGTGTGTGCATGCGTGCGCGTGCATGGCTGTCGAAACTCCAAAAACAGGTCAAGTAGCTCTGGGGAGGTCAGTCATAAATTAGAACACTTGCTAAGCAACCGGCCATTAAGCAAGGATCAGTTGTATTTGGTTTGCCAATCACCTGTCACGCCCGCCCAGTCACATGGCCAAGCCACACCCACCTGGTCACATGACCACCAAACACGCCCAGCCAGTCACATGACCACCAAGCCACACCCACAGATTAAGCCACGCCCACAGAACCAGTTGTTAAACAATTTGAATCCCACCGCTGAGTAGGACCCATGGAAAAATGGAAGAGTACTTACTTCTATTGTAGAAGTCTTCAAAAGAGCAATTTGGTCTTCTCTAGTGAGTTCCAAGAAACCTGGCAACTGTTTGGCAAAGTCCACAATTTCCTGCACAGAAATGATGGCAAGCTCTGTGAAATGAGCAAAGCGCTGTTGTCGTGCTTCACGATGAAGAGGATCTGAAATCTGAGGCCATGGCTGCAATTAAATAGCAAAGTGGGAAAGAAGACGACTTTAATGAGAGTACAAATTAAAAACAGGAAGTCCACTGAAATTAGTATTCCCAATCTCACAATTATCTCATAGCTCTCATACAAGTTTGATCTAAACAAAAGTAGTATTATATCTGGTTAATATGTTATACAACCCCTCCAGAACATGTTACACAATCCTTTGACACTAGGGATTCGGAATCATTCCGCTTCAAAACAAGCAAGTTTCCATCAACTATTCTTCCAGCTCTTTGACCGCAGCAACTGAAAGGTAAAAGCAATATCCTCTCAGTCTATTATACAGACCTCCTTGGGCCTCTGGAGGCTATTACAACATGAATGCAGTGTCTATTAAGTATGAGGCATTACTCTGTAAGTTAACCATTCGCTATACAAAATCAAAAGAAATCTTTAGTGAAGGTCAGTGTGTGTCTTCTTTCTTCTATTTAACAGCCCACAAAAATTGTGCTTTTACCGTCACTTTGAGCCTATCTGTGAAAGACCGTTGATTACATTGCTGTTGAGCTGCAACAAGTTTTTCTATCATAACAAGCTGCTCTGGTGTCATTTTGGGAGAGATGCTTGGGGGAGATGGTGGGTTCTGACGCACAGCTATCATCCGGGCTTGATCATCTTCCTGCTTCTTAAGTTTCTTCAGCTGGATTTGCTCTTCGGAGAGAACACCTAAATGTAGAGCACAGGACAGATAGGAATCAATGATACCATGGCTACCAACCAGCTTACAGTACATAATCACTTTTGCAAAAGCCTTAAAATCAACTCTGTCCATGACTAAACTGAACATAATTTGCAGTGAGAAACCCAGACCCAAAAATAGGAAAAAGGAGATGACAAATATATCTCTTAAAGGAAAGAGAAAATATATCCTTTCAAACCAGAATATGCCCAAGTGGCAAAGAAAAATAATTTGGTCAAACACGTAAAACAAAGTGCCAGAGAGGATTCTGATAATAAACTGATTAGCAAACAGAAAGCATTCTACATTCTAGACTGGCATTTTATAATAACATTATCAATTTAAATAAGAACTAAAAGGACAAAAATGAAAATTATTAAAGTCATATATGCATATATTGACTTTAAGAAGAGTAATGGAAGATTGTAAAGATGCTGCATAGAGATTCCAGATACTTAGGAATATGGTTATATTTATATTTGCCTATCATAAGATTGTATACATTGAGAAACATGTTTGAAGGAATAATATTTTATGATTTGGGAGAAGACGCTATCATATAGCTCCATTCTGGTGAAAAGATCATGAATTACTAAATTGGTCTAAGATCTAAAATCTAAGAAAAGTATGAAATGGAACTTGTACAGGAGCCGTTTCATTTGCCCAGAATAGAAAGCTAATTCTAGGATGGTTTGAACTGTTAAACTCTAATATAAAAACTTCTAGTGATTTGTTTATGTGGATATAACATTTTTCTGTTCAATTGTGTCCCATTCTTGGAGACTGCCTGGACAAGTCCTTTCTTGCAAGGTTTTTCAAAAGTGGTTTGCCATTGCCTTCTTTGTAGGGCTGAGAGAAAATGACTGGCCCAAGATCACCCAGCTGGCTTTGTGCCCAAGGCAGCATTAGAACTCACAATCTCCTAGTTTCTAGCCTGATGCCTTAACCATTACACCAAACTGGCTCTCAAATATAATATATTAGCCTACTTTGTTACCCTATTTATTAGGTTGATCCGTATTATCCTATAATAGATTTGTACTTTAATTTTAAAAAGGATTTTTTTCTTAAGAGAAATACGGTGAGAATCCAGTTTCGTAATGTATTTCAAATTATAAATTGGTAGTAAGCAACTGGCTTAGCTAAAATACAATCACATTATCATATTTTTAAATGCAAGGTAGTCACTCAAACAACTGTGGTTATTGGATGGAGTTATGCCATATCTGGTTCTTTTTTTAAAAAGGGCTGTCTTTTGCAGATTCTGTTTTCCAAAATTTGTAATATTTTGTAATGTCTAAGAACAGTGTTAGCATTAGATCATGTGACTGGCAGAATGTGTTTGTGAAGAAAAATGCTGTGAAGTGGCAGCTGCCATTTAAAGTCTGTTATTACATTGAACCTCAACTGTTTTACCATTTAGTAACAGGGAGCAATACCTGGCATTTCGGAAGCTGTTGTACTCTACATGCATACTTAATAGCTACCTGACAAAGAGAACAATTTGGAATTGTTTTTTCCATACTGAGCCTAGACAGAAGGAAACATTTAGGAAATCTCTCTGGTAAATTAAAATATGGATTTTAAGCAAATATCCAGTCATCCTATCAAAGGAGTATAAAGGATTAGGATAGTAGCAATATAAAATGTGCTCCTATATTCAGTGAAAAAATGAATTAATTTTTAGAACAGCAAACAAACAAAAGCATACCATAATTGAAAAAAAAGCCCTAACAAACAGCAGCTTGAACATTGTCCCAACCTAACCTGAGATAAACAGTTTAGGTCAATGGTAGTCAACCTGGTCCCTACCGCCCACTAGTGGGCATTCCAGCTTTCATGGTGGGCAGTAGGGGTTTTGTCCCCTACTTTATAAATCACCATTACTGTCGAACCGGTGGGCAGTTAGAAAATTTTACTACTAACAGAGATACAAAAGTGGGTGGTACATATAAAAAGGTTGACTACCCCGGTTTAGGTATTAATGGTCTTAAATATTTTGAATATTGTAAACATTCAAATAAAAATAATTTGAATAATTTAATTTATGCATATTTTATTCAAACTGCTTGCTTTAATATATTATTTTGTTAGGTGATTGAGGTTCTATGACAAAGAGAGTACTGGCAGCTTTATTATGAAATGTAGCTAAAAGAAAACATTTGGGTCTATAAAAGCAATATCTCCAGAATGATCCTTGATAGCCCCACACTAGGTACTTACATTGCTCTCGCATGCCTGCTTCATAGCACTTGCGTAACCGACACTCCTGACATTTCCGGCGCATGTACGTATCCATCTCACATCTGCCACTGTTCTTGCAGATATATTGGGCCCCTTTGATCACACTGCGTCGGAAAAAACCTTTGCAGCCCTCGCAACTCAGGACATTGTAATGGAAGCCAGAGGCTTTGTCCCCACATACACTGCACACCTCATTTCCTAGCATCTTGGGGGCTGGCCCTTTCTTCCTTTTCAGGGGAGGGTTTTCTAAAGCAAAGAATAGGGATGAAAGGAAAGACTCTGAAATTAGATCTGAAAATGAGAGAAGAGCTTCTCTTGATGTATACATGCTAACAGTTTTTTCATACATAACATGCTGACCCTGGAGAAACCTGAAATGTTACATGTAGGTGGAATCAAAGAACATAAGGACCTGTGGTGAAGGAAGGCCTCTTCTGGATATACTATTCTAATAATATTTACCCAATGGTGTTCAATGCATTTGTAGGGCCATGGGACTATAATGCAGATTATTCAATTAGTATTAAAAACAAGAATTATATCATCTTAGAATGTATAGGAATAATCAGGGGTAAAAATTCTGTACCTTCAAATACAAAGCTAGAATACTGCACAAAAGCTGAGCAATATATGTAGTTAAACAAGCAATTCTCCTTTCTGTTTATATATCTATTTAAAAATAATCAGCAGCTATTAGACTCTGAGAAGACCTGGAAATAGAAAATATCCTAGAGCAGGGATGTCAAACTTGTGGCCCGCAGGCCAGATGCATCACATGCTGGCCCGCTCCCATTTTAGCGAAGGGGGGAAGTTGCGATACATCACGTGACGACAACATGATGACATGAGTTTGACACCCCTGTCCTAGAGTGTTTCACATATAAAGGTAACATACACAGAGAATGGGTAACTAAGGAAAATATTAGCTCTCAAAACTGGTTGTCCTGATCTCTCTGTATAATAATGGTGTGTGGGAATGACCTTGGGAAATGGAGAAGAGAGGCTGCCTAGGAGCAGTCAGATAAGAGAAGCTGCATCAGAGTGGACAAAGTGCCTCAGAAGGGATACTCCCTTAGGTTTTAGGCTCTAAAGAAGGCAGCAGGGGATCTACACTTTCAGATTTGCACGATTCTGTTAATAGCCTTACAATAAAATAGAATTAGCCTGTATTGGTCTTCCTCCTTGGGGATTTTGAAAGCAAAGTCCAACATACTTTTCATTTACATTTTACAGTTTCTTCAGTCAGCTTCATAAACTTTTGAAATCATAAATAATCCAGACTATTCACTGTAAGCAGATGACTAGTGTTCATACCAGAAACAGAAATATTTCTTTTCAACATTTTTCAAAACTCAGAAAAACCAAGCCAAACAACCACCCTTGTAAACTTTTTAGATCTTCTCATGAATTTCTTTCCCCCTGCATTTCTTCCCAGGGTTTTCTTTTACCTTTTTTCAAAGCTAGACCCAAAAATTATTCCACATTCAATATCCATACCATATTCCGTAGTTATTGTTATACCCGTTGTCCTATAATGTATTGCTTGAAGGGAGATTGTTTTGTTTTAATGTCCAGAAATTATTTTAAAATTTCATAAAATCCAATTCTTGTACTACCTAGAATTCTACCACATAGGTCTATCACACGATTTGATTTAACATAGAGATAATTTCATACTGCATTCTGAACATATGAATTAAAAGAAGAATGTAGTCTTCTTACCTATAGGTTCAGAGGGAATCTCTGAATTCTGGAAAAGTGCAAATACTTTTTCCTCCATGTTAAAAACACTTGTCTTCTTCCCATGGTTCTGTGTGACAAGCTGAGAGGGACCCATGGTGGCTATTCTACAGGGGCTCACGTTCTTGTAATCTCTAAAACATGTTTATGACCATACTCAGGGTGTTTGCATGCAGTGTTACACTGACTTCACAAAATGGAGAAAAACAAAAGCTATAATAAAAGAAAAACATAATTCCCGAAGTTAATGGAAGTCTTCTGTTTTCATACTACCACCCACAACAGTATCCACCCAGGCAGCTGCTATCTACAATTATTCAACCTCAAAGAATTATAGTTTTTCTCCTTTAACTAGAAAACACTTATTTTCAATAAAATTCAATTTTAGAATATATATTTAGAAATATAATCATCATTTTTATCAATAATATAATAGTTATAATAGAAATAGTGTTTTAATTATTTGTTGGTTTTCAGCCAATTTTTCATACAGCAGCTCAAGTGGGTGTACATAGTGCTCTGTCCTAGCTTGTCCAGGACTGTCAAAACCAGATTATCTTAAGTAGCATTCTCCAACTTGGTGCCCTCCAAATGTGCTGTGCTGTACTGATGGGTAACATTGGAAATTGTATTTCCAGCAGATCTGAAGGATATCAGTTTGGGAAAGTTGGATTAAAAGTGAAGAAACCAATCAAATTTCCCATGAAAGCATTTTCACTTTTAATTCCTGTATCTATTTTTCATTACTTGTCTATCTCCAAAAATATACTTCTTCAGGCAGATCGGAAACCAAAGTCAGAAAACAGTAAAACTTTAAAACTATTACAATCATTAAAAACAATCCAAAACTAAGGCAGCTTCCTGCCAAAAAAAAATAAAGGTTCTGAAATTCTGGAGGGAGGGAAGGAGGGAGGGAGGGAGGAAGGAAGGAAGGAAGGAGCGAAACAGCCTAGTTGCCAGAAAGCTTATAGCTCTTTCTTTATTCATTATAACTTCAGCAGAGTTCCAGGTTCAGCTATTCTCAGTAAAGCATAGTGCCCTAATTACCATTTTTAGGACCTTAGAAGCAGTGAAAGGCATTCACCTAATTTGCAGCAGTGTGTCTGATTGTGGTGGTCTCCTTAGACACTAAACTAAAACCTCACTATGGTAATTTCCATTCTAGCAAAACTCTGATTTAATGAAAAGTTACAGTACCTCAATAGAAAACCTACTTCAGAGAAAATCTGCTGAATGGTTATGTGATATATATTTAACCAAACTTCCTTATTTAAAAAAACCCAAAGAGGATCTAGATATATTAAAAGGGAAAAAGATTGACTTGCCCCACCTAAATTTCTGAAAAAAATTCAATTTGGTCTTTTGCTGCTGTCAGCTCAGTAGTTAAGCAATACTGCTGGAAAATAGTACTGAAGGGGAGAATGTGCCAGGAAACAGGGTGTATTACCAGACAGCTGGAGCCAAAGAATAGGATATGGATGCTTGACTAAGGGAATTTCAAAATTGACATGTCATCATGTGCAGAGGCCAAAGCAGGCCCCCAAAGTGAAACTTGTTACTTATCACAGTTTTTGACTTGGAAAAAGTGATGTCGGCATTTAGAACTGGGGAAGTTGTAGTGCATCTCTGAAGAAAACAAACAACAGTCAGAAGTGAGCATCACTCTTCTCTGTTCCCTTGCAATAAACTTGATAACTTGTTGATCACAGTTTCCTCTTTAAAAGGCTTCTAAATTCCATTGTAAGTGCCTGCAATAACTAGGTACTCTCATTTGTGTGTTTACTTCCCAGTCACCTTGCCTGGCTCTCTTTCTTGGTTCATTCATTGCTATATCATGGGCCTTAAATACCTGAATGGGAAAATAATTCTATACTGTTAATTATTCAATTAAATAAAAACAATATTTTTCCTACTGCAATACCCAACCATTTATTACATCTTTTTATCATCATATAGAGCAGTGGTGGCGGACCTATGGCATATGTGACACAGGTAGCACACACAGCCCTCTCTGTGGGTACATGCGCCGTTGCCCTAGCTCAGCTCTGCCACACATACATGTGCGTCTCTCACTCGCCAGCTGGTCTCTGCCACACATGCGTAGGGTGTATGCTCAGAGGTGAGCATTGCATTTTGGGTATGCACGCTTGCTTTTGGCGCTCGGTACCAAAAAGGTTCGCCATCACTGATATAGAGCAATCATGTCTGATTTTGTTTTCCTTTACTGAGATGCAGATACACTTAAATATCAATCTCACTGTCAATTAGATAATGAATAAGAGCTCAATTATTATCAAGATGCATGTTGCATACTGTAGATCCATTCTAACACTATTCCCCACTTTTCTCAAGCTGCAGAGAAAATGATGTATATGGGGGAGAAACAAATCTGGGAGGAGTGAAGAAGGAGAACTTAATAATTTGGAGATAAGTAATCATCAAGCTCAACATTTTCATGATGCTCCTGGAACTAAAAATAACCCCTTCCATTGCCTCTTCCAATTATAAACTGCGCCACTGAATAATAGCAATACAGTTGTCAAAAAAGTACATTTGCAGCTTCTCAAAGTTACAGACACATACTTGATGCATGAAGCAAACTCCCAAATTCCTGCTGAAACCAGAAACACAATCTTTAAGGTCATATTCCCCTCACCAACTTTGTTATGTCTTTGGTCATCACTCTTTTCACCTCTCACACACACACATTAAATATAGGCCCTGGCCACAAAAACATGGTCAGCTCCTGATCTTTCTTGAAAGACTACAGACTCTTAAGAGTAGACCAATCACATATATATGATTGGAGGTGAGCTATATGCCTTTGGCGGATTTGTTCACTGGGATGCTATGTACTGTGTTTGTGTGCTGCAACAGTTTAACAAAAGATAGCACTGAAGACATTTTTAAAATATCACATACTAGTTTTATGGATTGATAAGCAATTTCAGGCAATTTCTCTAGTAAAAAGTGCCCAATTAGGAATGTTCATGACTACAGTAAGCTTTGAAATCAAAGACCGTATTGTGTTAAAAATATAAGAGATCATTATAGTGTGAAATATTTTCAAAGGAAGAATGTATGTTAGAGAATTAGCAAAACTAAAGGAAATCTGCAGTGATGCTTCAATGGGAAACATGTCAATGAAGTCAGAATAATCTTCATCTTCAAATTATTTGTTTTCTTATATCATAATCAGAAACCAATTCCCAATGCTCGAAATATAATTATAACCATGAAAACAAAAATATAAAACAATCAACATAGGTACCAACTTCCTAATCTCAATTATAGAGACAATTCAATCTTAAAGGACCTAAAGAAAATGTTTATTTTCACAGCCTTTTGAAATGATGCTGGGGTAGGTGACACCTGAATCTTCTGACTCTTATCTCTCTCACACATGTATGTGTAAAACCTTAAAAGATTCATACTCAAGATACGCATAGGGGGCGTGCATAAGTGCACCAACGTGCCTACCGTCCCTGTCCTATTGTTTCTCTTATTCTTTTATTTTTCTTATATGTACCCATTTCATGTATTCACAACTATGTATACACTTATACTTATTATCTTGTAAACAATTGGCAAATCAAATAAATAAATACATAAATAAATAAAATAAGCACACAGAATAGGCCTATTCTGCATGCTTAAGGCTGTCTTGGAGAGGAGATTCATGCTGTTTATGCTCTTACACTCATTGATACAAGGATTGAATGCATAAGATATCCAGCATATGGTGATGACTGGCTAGTGCCAAAATAAATTAAAATTAGACTGGACTTATGGAATCAACATTTGAAGCACCTTTTCATGTATTATTAATAAATCCAGAGTTTTGCTGCTATGCTCTGGGAAGTTTAAGAAATTCAGAATCTGAAAATAGTTGGAAAGATCTTAAGACCATTGGAAACAAATTGTTATAATAAAATATTATAACAATTTCTTTTGACAGAAATTTGTAGGTTTTGAATAGATCATAAGCAAGTTTTCTGGAGATCACTATGATGTAGAAACTACTGTTGCTTATATACAATTATTTTAATCTAATCTAGCATAGATTTTTTTCAACAATCAAAAATTAAACACTGTTTTAAGATTTCAAATGTTTGCAAGATATTTAAGTCCTCTTTTATACATTTTGTATCAAGTGATAGATAAACCAGGATCCATCATATTCCTCAATTTAATTAAAAGCTATTCAGCAGCAGATCAGCCAGGTCATTTTCTAGAGAATCAAGCAATAAGAGTTCAGAAGCTGGAAGAAAATGACTTTTATCTCATGTCCTATCTCTTATTAAGCACAACCAGAGAGGGTCTTGCTTTCTACAAAATCTAAAATAGAATTTGCTTTAATTATACTGTGAAAATAAATTCCTTAGTGAAAATATTATGAAAAGTTATTAAATGTTTAACTATCAAAGTGAAAGATGAAAAGAAGAGAGGTTTAGAAATAGAATAATGCCTACCAATTTTAAATTCCTTTGTTCCAATGATCCAGTTAATAATATCTATATGCTGGAAACTTGTATGTTGTCTTGTCAGCTGCTGGTAGTGCCAGTTCCAAATGAAAACAATAGATTATTAGCCAATCGTTCTTTTAAAAAATGCAATGAGAACAACCCCAAAACCCATGAGGAAGTAAATGTAGGTAAAAGGCTAATGAAAGCATAAAATTCCCTGTGCTGTGGTCACATTCATGTGTCAGTTGAGGCACCAAAGTACTTCCAAGATATGTTGGCACCAGGCTTTACACCCTGCCCTATGTAGAATAAGCTGAACAACTCAGCAAGCATATGTCCTAAGTCCAACTCCTATTGCTTCTTCAGATATGAAGTGCTGTTATTAAAATAAACCAAATAATTCAAACAATATTCTCCTGTGGCCACACCATTGGCACTCATAACCATAAAGAGACATCTCCCTTGTCTACTAGAAGAGTTCAGCTCTTTCTTCCTGCAACAAGAACTTTAATTTCACTGTTATCATCTCTGTAGTTATTTTCCAGTATGTTTATACACACACAAAACTTACACATCTATGATCCATTCCACCCATTACATTTTTAAGCTGTGTGAGCGTGCTTTTTCAAGAATAGCCTCTCCTCTTCTTCTCATCTGTTTTTCTCCCAAGAATTGAAAGATCAAGCTCCACAAAAGCTGTGGAACCACCAACTATCCAATTACATTTTTTGTAATTTATGCATGCAG